ATGAGATATGTTTTTACATTAATAGTTTTGTACTGAACACCCTGTTTTATTTGGAAAAGCCTGCTTTCTATTTGAAGGATATTTTTGCTTTTGTGAGTCAGCCCCCTGCACCTGAAGGCAGCACACAGTGTAAAAAACACCGAACGAGACATAAAAGGTCACATCTGGACCAGCAGGATGAACTCGCACCAAAATAAATAAACAGAACATGTAGTGATAGACTATGCTTGAGCACACAAAGACGCCGACTCTAAAGCACTGCCATGTGCTGTCATAGTCAAAAGAACCAAGGCACTAACACCTGTCTGTGGCACTGAATCCGTGACATAAATAATTAGAAATGGATCCCAAAATATGTTGTTTCTTTTTAAAAATACAAAGCTCGGTATTATTTCAAACACGTAGGCGCTGCAGTTTTACGTAAAACTTACGTCAACAGTAAGAAATAATCAGTTTCTTAGGGACTATTTCAGCAGTGGATTAATACAAATTAGGTGCTCTAGCGAGTATTTAGGACAGGAGGTGTGTGTGGCACTGATTCAGAATAAACTGTGTGTTCATGGTAATAAGGGAACATGTCACCCACTATAACAGTGTGGCTCATGAACTCCTTCACTGAAAATTTGCCAGATTTATGTTTTAAAAGGATCAAACGTGACAACCTGTCCACACCTGATATGAAAAGCACCATATCTCACGATTCAAACAGCTTAAACCGCTTTAAGATGACGACACCAGAGCAGCTATAGCTTCTTATTTTGTTGCGAGAATGTGCACCCAATAAAACGGCACTTTATTGCATTTTCTGTCATCTGTAAAAGAAAAAGACACGCTGAATCGTTTCGTGCTGCGCAACAGCCTCCAACAGCCTCCAACAAATAAATAGTTTAAGAAAAATTCATTTTAAGGGGTAAAAAGGTCATTTACCACCAAAATTTTACATTTAAATGTTTCCCCTCTGTTAGTGCTGTTTGTGCATCTCTTTTATTTTGGTGGGACTTGCTCAGTTTTGCAGATGCTGGTGTAGATGTCTATTCTTTTTTATTGTAATGAAGCTACTGGCTCTTGGCTTGTGGTGCTCAAAGTGCTGCTACTATTACTAATAATGCTACTACAACTAATAATAATAAAAATGGGAAAACGCAGCACTAATGTCCTTTTCCAGAAAGCACGACCCCGTTACTCAAAACAGTCCACAAACCTACTATTTTCTGTCTGCTGAACTAGATACCTGACTTTTTTCAATATAATGGAACTAAATGGCACTCGCATTGTGCTGCTCAAAGCATGGAAAATGAAAAAATTACAAAATAAAAATGAAAAACTCAGCTGTAATGTCTCTAAGGTCCCCGGTATTAAAAAACAAAAATCCACAAGCCTCGTTCTGTTCGGTTTTATGTATGTTTCTACAGATCTACACCCACCAAGCAGACTGAATCTTCCATCTACCTGCGACGAGAGGGTCGTGCATGTGCGGGACAGGATATAAATATTAATGGCGGCCCCCCTCACCTTAGCCAGCTGTCCACTTCCTCTGGTATGTAGAAAATAGTTCAGACGAGCAGCGACAGCAAATAAAATGCCCATAAATGTAAATAAATGACAGCAAAGAACTGAATTAAATGGCAAGACTACAAATTATTGCCAAAAAGAGGTGTAAGCTTAAGCTTTAGCATATTACACCTCCCTGTTTTTACACAGCATATTCTAAACTACACATAACTAGGATGTTTTTTTAAAAGAGGCACAGAAGCACAGATTTTCAAATACATGTTTTTAGCCCTTGAGCATCACAAGGCCAGTGCCATTTAGTACATTTATAATAAAGACTAAGGCAGATATCTCTACAGCTGATATCTCCAAAACTGGGCAACCTACACCAAAATAAATGAGATGGATAAACATCACTGAAGGCCAGAGGGGACATGTGTACATTTAATTTGGGGCATGAACTGTTCTTTTAAAGTGCAACCTAGATTTAGATTAATGTGGCAATCCATCCATCCATCCAGAACATCCATCCATCTATCCATCCATCCATCCACCCAGAACTAAGACATTAATCTGTCATTGACTTTAAGGTGGATAATGCTCAATTATAGCTCCATAAGCATTACGTTTAGGGTAGCTTTGCATGATTCACAGTTCAGAATAATCCTTATTTATCTCATACTGGACCTCAGTACAGCCTCTTCCCTCGTAGCCCACAGTGGGCAGGCCACAGAAGACCCATGCTGTGGGCCCTGTGTGGGTACACCCACTCTGGGTCTGTGTGGGGTAAGTGTGGGTTTAACTCTGCCTGCACAACCACCCAGTTCACCCACTGTGGGCCCCACACAAGCATGTTTCCTGGGATGTGATATCTTTAAGGTCCTCTTCCTTTAAGCCAGCCTTCTGATTGACTGCCCAAGTTCAGGTTCATATTAGCAATATTGCTCACATCACAGAGAGTGAAAAGTAGAAACAAACTGTGTGAATTGAGTATAAGCAGCCGCATACGCCTGATGGAAAATGAGGAAATGTGTGATAGTTTATTTATAATATTAACCTCGACCACAGTCTTTCTCTTCCAAAAACCAGGTCATCTTTGTGCCTAAACGTAACCGAACCACAACAGCGGCCAGATTATCTCCTGCCAAAGTAGGCGTCAGATGAGACGTGTGTCTGGAGAGCATTTTTGGACTTCATTTGTCATTAACTTTGAACATTTATGATTTTAATGAGCAACAGCGGCGCTCTAGAGTGCAAAACATTTAAGAAAAACAGACAATGATTTTAATTCAGATGAGCTGATTGTTTTTGTTTTCATGGGATTTGTTAACACTAATACTTAGCTAGATTTACCCTCCTAACAACAAGAGGGCCAACAAACATAAAGGCAGCCTGCTACACACACAAATACACCCACACAAACACACACTCCTCCTGCTCGGATGAGCTGTCATGCATTTGTACCTCGAGGCCACTTCACAGAGCACGAAGGTGTTAATTTGGTGTGTCACTTCATGACTAAGAAAATGGTCTTCCTCCTCAGCTGCAACCTTTAGACAAAAAAAATTTAGGTGTGGAAATACCCCCCCACCCCCACCACGAGCTCCTGACTGAGTGTGTCTGTGGAAACACGCCGCCGAGCACTACCAGAGTAAAGGGCAGGCCGGGGTGATTACCAACACCCATCTCCACCACCTCCTCTTACACCAACAAGCCAGTAATTCCCTGCAAGCCCTTTTGCGACGACTTTTGTGAATCCAGACTGCGTTAAGTGGAATCAGTGGCTGAGCGACTGTACCGCGGCGCCCGCTGACGCCTTTGACAGACAGTTAATAAGGATTCGTGCTCAATGCAACCCACAGAGGAAGGTGATTATGTCTGTAGGTAATTGGCCCGCTGACAGCGACATGATCCCCGGCCCCTGTTGTGACCTGCTTGAATAATGAAATAACAATGAAATGGCAAACGTGAGCTTCCCCCCCACACACGCCTTGCACCCATGGAGGTATGAGGCACTTTCCCTTTGAGTAGAAAGCTGAGTGCTGTGGAGGCAAAATAAAAGCAAATATGAGCATGAGGAGCTGATGTAGTAGTGTAGTTCAGGGTTTTCCCTCAGTGCTTTGTTTGCTTGCTCTTTGTCTGGAGCTAAAAGAGGCAGCTCAGAGCCATGCTGCACGATGAGTCACCTTGCCGGAGAGCCCAGAGCCCAAAACATGAACCTTTTATTAAAGGAAGATGTTTGAGTGGGCAAGACAACAACCTGGGGTCGATCCCTGTCTGTAACATCAAATTGCCTTGTATCCAAAACAAGGCTGAAGTGATTTATACTCAGTCCTGTGGCTCTCACAATACAAACTCTCAGGCAGATGTCATAAATTAGCACATGGGCTGTAATAACACTATACGCCTATCTTAGGGAAGTGACTAAATGGTAATATCCATCTGGCTCCTAAAGGATTTACAGGGTTTCTAATTATCTCAGGCTTCGGGACTACCTGCTGATCCAGCCGGCACAGGTTTCCACACATCTGGTGAGACCAACATTTGGCCACAGACCAAAGCTACGCACTACTTATTGTTTTGTTTGGGCTCAAGAACTGGAAAGTAGGAGGAGAAAAATAGAAGCAATAATAGAAAACGTGTGACAAATTCATCACAGCCGACATCATTGTCTGACCAGGAACTGTGATCATCACAAGATCAATAGTTGATCATCGTGTTCTGTGACACATGTGGACGGGGGACAGTTGATTTGCATTTACAAAATGATTGTGACTCATGCATATTCAGTGCCTCTCACTCTGTTTGTCATCCTGCAGGCCTAATTGGCTAACTTTCTTTGTTGCTATGCTGGCCGGATTTCAGATGTGTGGGAACTGCTGCCTTTCTGATTAGCTTACTTATGAAAACAGTGTTATTTAGATAACCAGATCACTGAACAATCATCTTTCCCAAAAAAAAAAAAGGGGGGAGAGAAGAAGGACAATAGTCGCCTCTAATTTGAAGCTGGGAGGACTGACAGTGTGCTTGGATGCACAGACTGTAAAAATGTCTTGAGGCGAATTTGGGATTTTTAGATTATAAAAATAAAACTTAAAAAAAAAAAGATTTGGCCTCATCTTAGATTATCTTTTTCCAAAGGATGTATTGGAGGGGAAGGTGGGTGGGAGAGATACAAATGTAGGACAG